TTGATCCTTTAATACAGTTTCACTTGGGTCTAATGAACTTCATCATCAGGATAGAAACAGATTAAGCCCAGTGCTATAAAAGCTCTGTCTGGTTGGTTCCTGGAACTGGCCTAGCTTCGGTACATGAAACCACTTATGCTAGGCTGCACAATATAAAGAGAATAGGAAACCTCACGAGGTGGATAGAGGAAGCTGTAGGAAATCTGTTTGTCTGCACGGTAGTTTGAGCAGGACTGACTGTAGACTGTAGGAACTCTAATATCAGGCCGAACACAGTTGCTCAGAGCCTCAGTCAGAGGAGTGAAATCTACCTGCAACAGAACATCCACACAGACAGGTTTAAACTCTAATACAACAGTCAACTATAAACAGACTAACATAATTTTGTAAACTGTACCTGCTTAGATACAGTATAAGACGTCCAGAGAGGCATGGACAAAGCTTCACTGTAACCACTAATGTAATCACTATGATGAAGGATGTAGTATTTGGTGAGGAGCATGACTGCTGGCCAACCGTAAGGAAGATTTTTGTTGTCTAAAAAGGAAAAAAAATGCATTAGTAATCTTTTAATCGGAAAAACAGAGAGACAAAATATTACTACATCCATTAAAATTCCATGCAACCAAAATGTTTATAAATTTCATAAAATGAAAATTCGGCAATGCCCTGATCTTTTCCACACAATGAAAGTGAATATTGGGGCTCCTTTAGACATATCTAAAGGCACCATATTCAAATTTGAATGCAAACATAAATAATATTTGAGCTCTGGTGGATAGTAGTTGAAATAGTAGAGTCTGTGGCAATGCCATCGCACATTGAATGCAATGTAGGCACTTTTGGATTAAAGCATCTGCTAAATACATAAAATGTAATCATCAGTGAATAAATTTAGACAATAGCACACAAGTCGAGCTATCAACTCTTAGATACATACATCATGTGTTTTTGACAGCTGTGGTCACTATGAACTGTCCTTGTAAGGAAAATGTTTCTCCTTACAAAATTTCTCCTTTTGCATTTCTTGGAAACAATAACAGCATGCAAATTACATAAGAATGACTAAATACTGACAGAGTTTTATATTTGGGTGAACTATTCCCTTTCAATCAGCAAATCATTTTAAGATAACACTCATTGTGAACCATAGCTGCTAAATCACAGTGCAAGTAACTGTACATAAAACAGCTCATACAGCACCACTAAACCAGTCCAAAGAGAAGGGAATGGACATACCATCAATAACTTGTCTCAGTCATTAATTGAGCTCTTCCACTTTGTTCTGTAACAGACAGAGCCACAGTGACTCCAGGTTATAGCCTCTTACTAGGGTCACTTTCAATGCCCTCTGCCCCCTACTTTTTGAACGCAACTGCAAAAGATTAAAGGTGAAAACCTCCAGCAAGAGATCTACATCTGAGCAGAAGGCAAAAGCACTTTTAGAGGCAAGGGAAGGAATCACTTTGATCCAATAAAAGGAATTGGAAATGTTAAAATAATCTATAGGTCAGGGGTTTCCAAACCATTTCTTGAGCCTCCCCAGCACTACACATTTTCGGATGTCTTCATTATTTAACCCAGCTGATTTAAGCCATCAGCTGAATTCATAGTTTTCTGTCATTTTCTGTGACTGGCGCAGAGACCTGTACAAAAGATACAGAGAACATCTCTGGTTACTATCGTAACCTCGGTTCCCTGAGAGACGGGAACGAGACATGGCGTTAACGCCTTGGGGACTCCCTTCCTTCCTAACCTACCTGAAATCTTATTGCATAACGCCAGTGAAGTTGCAACTCTCACTGGCCAATGCCAGCCAAGACGGCGAATAGGGGCCGGGCCCCCGCCTCTATATAATACGCCGTATTGGTGGCATATGCTCAGAATCTTCCGACTGTATCAACAGCACAGCAGACCTGAGCAGTGAACACGGCGGCTTACACCATGTCTCATTCCCGTTTCTCAGGGAACCGAGGTTACTACAGTAACCGGAGACGTTCCCTCTCGAGAACGGTCTCTCGACATGGCGTTAACACCTTGGGGACTGTATAGAACAACGCCGTGGAAGCAGCGAAGTAAAAAGGCTCAGCCTCGGCGGCGCTAACATGAACAATTCTTGCAAGACATTAAAATTAATCCCCTACCAATCAAATACGACCCTGCGACATGCCTCGAGGGGATTGGATGTAGATTCCCCCTTAGGGATCCAATCAGGTGACACTTCGTGCGCTTGCGCGTGCCTCAAAAGAGAGCTTACAATGACTTACAAAGATACATATCAGCTACAAGTGTATGCACTACTTGCTTTATACAAGCACTATATCAGATAAATCACTTTACAGGATTTACCCTGTTATTCTTTATCGACACGAATTGATAGGTGAAACAACAAACAGCCACCCACAAATAGTCTATAAACAAAGCATCAGGCTGTCTTTGAGTTCACATGAACAACAGTTAAAGTTACTCGTCGTCAGGCTACAGAAGAATACCATAATTCCTCCGTTCAATTAGGCCTAAACGCCTGTTTCACACATACTCCGTCTGCAGTGCGTATGCTATGGAGATAGAATTGTTGCTTAATTCCAAATAAATAGATTATGATCCACAAACAAATGTAAAGAGATTAACAAAAATTAAACATATTGACAAATAAATAGAATGAGATCCACAAATAAATCTTAAAGTTTCACAAACATGAATTAAATTCACAAATAAATAAAATGAGATTTGCAAATAAAAAACATATTCACAAATATATATTTATGTCACAACCACAACTTTGCCTGGCATTTATTTGTGAATCGCGTC